CCTTAGTTTTCCTCTTCTTTCGGGCCCAACAGGCTACTATTAGGTATCCTAACTTCTGGCAGTAATAACAAGTAAGCATCTTATTTCTTTTCCCGTCCATGCGGTGAACCATGGGTTTTCGGTGAATCGGGTACTTTTGCGTGAGAAACACTTAGTTGTCTGAAACAAAATATATATATATATATATATATATATATATATATATATGATATATTTAAATATGTATTTTATATATTTGGTTATATATATATATATATATATATATATATATATATATATATATATATATTATGCAGTGTTACATTAGAACATGTACATTCCCACTACAAAACTGTACATCTCGTTTCAACATTAAAAAAAAAAAAATATTTTAACGTTTCATCAGGTGGGAAATCACGATGCTACTAAAATATTTTACTCCGAAATGCAGATAACGAAGCACATCTTCCACTTCCTTTCTTTCTCCACATATAAATTGTTATAGACAAGCGAATGGTTGCAAGAAGGAAATACGACAACAGCAGAAATAGATTTACGTGGTTTATTTCAACAGGAACGTGTGTGTTTGGGACAGCTACCTTGTGGTAAAGTTCATAAGTCGGTTTCGGATCTAGGTCGATCTCTCATAGCAGTTCACACATGTTGACGGTGGTTCATACTCTCCTGTTGCTGATCGCTCGGCCTGACCGTGACGGTCTGTTTGCGGCCACCTGTGGACTGCCTGTTGAACTTCCGTGTGACCCCTTTTATGGCGTTTTTTATGGCTTAACAGTCTCGAAAAACGAAGCGAGTATAATTAGGAGGGAAGCATTTTTATATGACGAAAAATAAAGCACTTTAAATATTATTTTATTTTTCAACCGGAACACGTGTGTCGGGAACATTTTTAAAGAAAGATAATGGTCATTTTGTGACGGGGCTTTGTCCCGTTCACACCCGTTTCTCGCTCTTGAGTATTTGCCTGTAAATCAGCCGAGATATGTCTTATTTTATTTTTATATTTAATTCTTTGTTACCTTTTATGGGAAACTTTCCAATGACGGAAGTGGATAATATTTTTGAAGCAGGCATTTATAAAATAATTTTCCAAAACTGTTCCTCCCAATATATTGAAGAAACAAGTAGAAATTTAAAAAAAAAACGCATTTATGATCACAAAAGAGATCTCACAAAAAAACAACTTAACTAATGCATTAGTCATACTTAGAAATAAATTCCACCACAATTTTGATTTTAAAAATGCTACACTCATAAAAAAAGAAAATACTCAGAAGGAAAATCCTCGAGAGGGCCGCCATTGAATATTATCCAAATATTAATCTACGCCAAGGCTTTTTCCCTATTTCACCTTTCCTAACAGAATTACTACTCTCCCTAGCAAACTTACACAACTGTATCAAGAAATCAAAAGGAAATGGTTGAATCCGTCAACACAACAATAAAACAATATTTCCACATGTGACAGTACTTGACGTAATTTTCAGTTGACAATATGAATATAATAGCGTTTTCTAAATTCTTCCAGTTGCTAAGGACATTTTGTTTTGTTATTATTTTTTTATCCAGCTTCATATGAGCTTAAGAGGATTTTTTAAATATTTATGCAAGGAATTATGACTTCGTTTTTTGGTTCAAAAGGTTCTTTACTAAAAAAATTCTCAAGGTATCGGATTCAAATGATTTCCTAATTTTTTTTTTTGATTTCCTATATATATATATATTACATGAATCATTCATACAAAAAACAGATATAGAAGTTAATGATTTAAATGGCGAGAATACATCTTCGCAAACAATTTTAATAAAGTACATTAACCCCGAACCTGTATATGAATGTTATGATCCCTGTTTATAAATTCCAGTGGCATAAGGTCTTTTTTTAGTTTTTTACAAGCTTTCGTCTGTTCTTACAGACATCTTCAGGTATGGAAATAGATTTGTTTTTGTTTTTTTACTTCCCGGTAATAACAGGACAACGAAAATATAGATGTAATCCGAAAAAATGCTTTTAGAAATGTGTTATTGTTAATTGTAAGAAATTTTTTGGAGCATGCGGTCGCAACGCTGAGGTTGAATCTTTAAATTTTAAGATTGTGCGTTGCTGAGTTCTGTTGATTTATTGTTCTACTAACTTATTTCTGGAGTACGAACTGTTTAAATACTCTTTGGATAGGCTCCAGAGAGAAGCGGGAAAAATATCGAAAGGAATATCTAAAATACACGATTGGATAAAAATTGACCAATCACTGATTTTTTTTTACAAGAACAAGTTAGGCAAAGTTATGGCAGAAAATTTTGTGTGGTTACTGCGATAGGTAAATTGTCCTATAGTAAACAGTACTTATTTTTTATCCAATTAAAACTGTGTAGTGACTACTACTACGTTTGCCACGCCTACATTTTTCTCAACTCTAATTGGTTAAATAATAAATACTGATTATCACATGAGAATTTACTGATCGCAGTCACCACACTGAATTTTTCCTACCGTTAATTTCACAAACATGCTTTTGTTATAAAATCACCGATTGGTTAATTTTTCATCCAATCATATATTTCTCCCGCCTTTATTCCTGGAGCCTACCGGTAGTAATAAAAGCGACGTTTCGTTCCAAAAATAGACAGTAGAATTCAGCAACTCACACGTGTCTACACAGACTATTCATTCTACTCACTGTGCACACACAGACACAGAACTTGAATTACATTTCACCATCAGTTCTCTGTGAACAAGCCAAGTTACAAACAACACTGTTAGTTATACAAATAACACACAACTGAATTAACTGTATGTTCTTCTGAATACAACATTCTATTTCAACATAGAACTTTGAACATTCTATTCAAGAAACATCCTTAATTACATTTTATCTTATTGAAGCTAACAGATTTATACAGCTACAATTTACAGTTGTTGGCCGACGTGATTCAAGGAATATAAAAACACAAAAGAAAGCGAAGTAAACCCTATTTTGTGCCAGCGACAGCAAAGGATTAACGTAAAATATCGGAACTTTAGCGTTGCGACTCGCACTTTCCGATATTGTACAACCGTCAATAAATAGCACATTCCTAAAAAAACATCTTTCGGTCTACAAACAATTATTTCGTCTTCAAGTTTTAACTTTAAAGGAAAAAAATTACAGCCTGAAGATGGAGACATGGTCTTCGAAAGTACTCGCTTAACTTAAAAAATATACACTAGAAACATCTGACAACAGGTTTATAAATGAGGATCACATCATTCAATGGATTAACAGTATTTTAATGCATACATTATATTTTACTAGCGAAGTGATTTCGCCATTAATCGCATTAATATTGCTGATTGATTCTGTGTATGATTATTTCTTTATATATAAAATATATGCTGCCTAATATTATATATATATATATATATATATATATATATATATATATATATATATATCGGGTGTAACAGCAAAATTGGCGAAATCATGTAACAGCAATTGTAAGATTAAGTTTTGAACCGTTGCATCATAGAAATGATTAAAGATATCTTTCTGTAATTTTCCGGTTTTTATAACACTACGGAACTCTGAGCAATAAGAATGTATAATTACTCTCTAAGCTTAACAGAAGAATCGTGATGAAAACGATCATAAACGAAAATGACATGTTCATCATTAATTAATTATAGCTAAGGATCAGAAGCTCATGAAGGATTGAAATAAAGTTCTGTTATATTCGGTGCTAATAGGAATATATACTTGAACAAACATGGTGGATAAATAAGTAAATGTTTATTGTAAAAACCAGTACAATAAAAATAAAGGTAACAGTTATGCACAAGGTCGTCGCAAGTCAATCCAGTAGAGCGTACTACTATAAATCGCCTGATGATACCGTAAGGTTGAAACCAAGGTAGCGGTTAAAACTAAAAGTTAGAAGCTCTCTACATGTTATTTTTCTTTTTTTTTTTTTAATTTTTTATTCACGAGTGTATTGAGCATTTTTAATACTGCTGTTTCATGGTCTGATTCAACTCTGGCCATTAAACTTCTTATATAAATATAGGAGCCACAACAAACAAACCGTAAAACAGAAAAAAAATACACCGATATCCGTAGTTTATTATGAGAAGCACTTACAATAATAGCCAAGTAGTTTACTTTGAGTTACCCAGAAATCCTGGCTGGAGGTCTGCAACAATAAGCAATACTCGCTTCCACTTCAGCGCTGTGAGTTGGTGATTCGTGTAACATATTCATCCACTAAAAGAAAAACTGTCTCGTCAATAATCATATTTCACTTTCAATATTTCATGAAAAAGAAAAATTACTGTTTTTGAGTGACTTATCTTTGAATTTTAAATTTGTTTATTTTTTTTATTTTTTTGTACTATTCTTAACTACGACAAAATCGGTGAGTAGTTTTTTTTAAATTTAGGCCCAGGGTGAGGTTATATAAAACTTTTTTTTTTACAACCTTTTTTTAAGGTACACTGTACATTTAGTGTAAAACACTGTACAGTACACTAGTTTTCTTACTATCGGTGTACATTAGTGAGTAATAGTGTACAGTAGTACACAGACACTCGCTGTGCGTGCCGATAACAATAAGTTCCTCTGTTTCTCGTACTGAACACTCAGTAAAAAAAAGGAAAAGATAAAAAAATAGGAGAATTTCGCATGTCCTTGAATGACTTGGAACGCGTCCTTGATTAAATCAATGTGAATGACTTCATACGATTTATTTTGTGAGAAAAAAATCTGATTGGTTTAGAGAAGAAAAAAATAACCTCGCTAACCATTACAACACGGCGAAGCGTCCGGTTAATCTTTTGTAAACATTCATATTTTTTACTTACTTCTCATCAGAAAGTTTTGTTTGTTTGCCGGGAAAAGCACGACTAAAGAAAAAAAAAAGAAATGAATCGATCAACGTCTGTTTGGGTTAGAGTTTTTTTACGTAAAATAAGAGTGACTAATGCTTATTCGACTGTAGATGCGGGTTATTTCACTCCACGACTCAGGTATATGTCCAGTTTACAGGAGAAAAAGGATCGTTCATATAAATTGGTCGTGGTCGGTGGAGGCAGTGGTGGATGTAGTGTGGCTTCGTCATTTTCTCGATACCTGGGTAAGGGACATGTGGCTGTTATCGAACCAAACCAGGTAATTATTTATTTTATTTTATTTCGTTTTTTAAGGAAAAGGCTGGTGATGTTTCCTTATGAATACTAGTTTTACATTTTTGTTTGAGCAATCTTTTTATTTAGGTAAGAAAAGAACGTTATGATAGCCATGTTGTAACGAAGTGGAGTTTAAACACTCAGACAAGTGCTTTTCACAGGTAATGTAATGAGCTTTTTTGTAATTTCCTTCACATGTATGCATGGCTTATTTTTTAAACCAGAACAGTTATTAATTTAGCGATGTATATAAAAAAATCTATATTCCAAGCAATCTTACCGATACAATTATATTTCTATGTGAATGAAGTATTTTTTTACTGACTTAAAAAATGTAAATGATAAATACAAACATTAACATTTAACATATTTACATTTTTTTAAAAGTCAGTAAAACATGAAAATACAAAAATTACAACTTCAGTTCGGCATATAATGAACATTTTACAAAAATCTATATAGAAAATAAACTTTTAAAAAATTAATTTTATCATTGTCCTGTTTCATTGTTGAAATTTATGTAAAAAAATAAAATGAACATGAGAAATAAAATAAATGTCAAATTTCAGGACAAAAAAATTTTCAATTTTAAATATCGATCGACTATTTTTGAGCTCATGAATCAATCTTACTTTGTTTTTTAACTCAAATTCTCACAGGTGAAGAGACAATTTGAATTACAACCCCGTGAGTTTTGTTGCGTATTGTAGATTGGTAATTTTTATTTATCATGAAGATGAAGCTCCTACAATAATCGGACAAAATACTGATATTATGCAATTATTTGTTTTTAATTTAAAAATCCTACCTTTTTAAACCAGTTTTCTCTCTAATAAAGTTTTATTTGGTTTCAAGTTGATTTGCGTAGCCTTATGGAAACTTAGTCGTTTTCAGGAGACCAATCCCAAATGTTTGGCCTCAAAAGAAATCCCATTAGTAATTTGTCCAGCGGAAAGAGAAACACAAAAATGAAATAATTTTAAAAAATCACTGAAAAGTTAAAATGGATTTTCTTCAGGTGATATTTTTAGGTACCGTCACGGACTTCCTAAAAAGCACGAAAAACACATCTTAAACTAAAATAATTTTAAAATGTCTTCTTCGAACTGAAATTTCGAGATTTTACACTACTACACTGTACATACAAATTTTAATTTGGAATATCTACAATAAGAAAATGTAATTATTAAAATGTTAAAAAAAATTCTATTAATAATATTCTAGCGATAAACAGCAGGTACAACGTGTAAAAAAAATACTAAATAACTTTTTGTTATTATTGTAGATCACAATTTAAAGTGTAGATCTCATACCAAAGTAGATTCAGGACATGTAGATCCCATAAAAATAGATTCCGCCTGACACGTAGATAACATGCCAAAGTAGCACCGACTGAAGCGCCCAGCTAATACGAATTAAAAGAGAAATTAATTTCCGTATATAAATAATATTTGTGGGCATGTTTAAAACATTGACACATTCACTCGTTCTCAACGAAACGCCATTATAGACGAAAAATGTAAACAACAATTTTTTTAAAATCTCTTAAAAATCCAATTATTAATTTATCCTCGAAAAATGTTTCGAAATCATTTAGTAAATTTAAAGGATTATTGGATTTTGTAAAAAAAGTAATGCTTTCTTTTTACTTAAAACTTAATGAAATTAACATTTATTTACGCACGGTGGCGTGTGGTGCCAAAAGTAAAATTAAAAAATGTATAATTAGATCCCCGACTTAAAAAGCGCGCGAAAAATAAAAATTAAACAAATATCGAATACCAGCAGTGTAATAATCAAGACATTGGTATTTATGTTTAAAAATAATTTTTTTAACCTTATATAGCCAATAGTTTAATTAATTTTTCATTCTATACAATTTTATTTTTATGAAACTTAGAATCAATTATTTTTTTTAGTTAAATGATACTTTTGAGTTTTAACATTGCTTTTATTTAGTTTTTTTTTTATTTCCGTACCTGTTTGATAAAATATCTAATTACACCCTATATGTATGTTTTTAATTGTTCTTCATTACTTTTAGGCTCACTATACATTTCTTCGTCGCTATCGTGTTACAATCTAACTTAGTCTGCATGTGCTAATATCCCATTTCCATTTTTTCTATTATCATAATCTTCTGTCCACTTTGCATCATGAATCTTGCCTCTTGTAGATTAGATTCACTATTCTTTATATACCACAGTTTTTCATTGGTAGCATAGAACATGGTCATTGGGGCTCTAATTTGTTTACGCATGAGGGTGGATGGCTTTTTGATCTTCCAGCATGTGCTATTGTCCTATAACTTAGCAATAATATAGGAAGAAATGTTGTCTTTTTATTGTACACATATTTTCAACCTGTTTTTTATAGTTTTTTGCACCATCCTTTCTGCTGATCTGTTTGATTGCGGATGGTACGATGGAGTTTTATATGGTTTGCATCCAATTTTGTTCAACCATTGGCATAATTCCTCGTCACAGAACTCTGGGGCATTGTCAGATACTGGCGTTTTCGGAATTCCATTTCTTGAAAATATGATCCTTAACGCTTGTTTTCACGGTCGAACTTCTTTTATTGGAGACCTGTATTACTTCTGGTCAGCAAAAATCCCACTCCATTAACATGGGCACGATCCATGTGTACTCATTATGCCATCTATGTGTTTTTGTCTGTCTAAATTTTCTTCTGTTATTTCACATTTTACAACTTTTTACGTATTCTTGTACATCTGTAGAATAGCCTGGCCACTATGTCTCTAGCCTTAATCTCATTTGTGTGGATGTTTATTCTGCAATGGACATCGTCATGTAGTATACTTCTTGTAATTTTGCTCCTTTGCCTTGCTGGCGGCAGAACCACTACGTCTCTATTACAAATTACACTCTTTTCTACAGTTAATTTGTGTCTAATCTCTTTAAAATGCCTCTCTGTTCGTGAGCAATTATTTCACTTATTTTTTAACCTGAACAATATACTGTTCAATATGGGATCTCGCTTCGTATCCTCAGTTAATTTGTCTATCGATAAAGTATCAGTTTTGACCCAATGTAAGTAAATATCTTTCGAATTTTCCCTCCTCATTCTTACTTTCAGAAGTAATAAACCTCAATCTCGACAAAGCGTCTACATACGGAATGGTATTGCCTTTAACTTACTCAATATCAAAGTCAAATGCCATTAACCTTAAGAAAAATTTTAGAATTCTAGAAGACATTATCTTAAGAAGCCTATGTATATAGAATATGAATTCTAAAGGTCTATGGTCAGACCTTAGTAGGAATTTCTTTCCAATCAAAAACTGACGACCTCTATTTTTTCTCCGTATTATGACCAACGTTTCTTTCTCAATATTTGAGTAGTTCACTTCGGTTTTTGACAATTTTCTCGAAAGATTCATAATAGGATGACCATAATGGATAGTAGCTTGGATTGAGGAATCAGAGAACCGAGTTCGAATTCTAGTCAAATCCATTACATTCACTTACGTGCTAATACCCTTGGGAAAAGTATGAATTCTCTTTTAATCTCCCCCACCAGCTATGGATAAATAGCAGGACAGACTGGATTCTATATCCTTGGATGGCAACTGGTCTACCGCAGAAAGAAATGCCGGGAAAAATTTGAGTCGTCAGTCATATATCGAAAGATACATGATCGCCTAAGCGTGTACCACGCATGGCACATAACTGACTGATCCTGAGCTAATATTCCTGAAGTTGAGTGTTCACTTGCGTCAGTTACGACTATTTCTTTTCTCGGGCCGAATATTTTTACAACTGGAATTTTTCAAATGACACTTGTTCTTTTGTCCAAATAAATTCCACATTCTTTTTTCTTGAAGCCGCAAAAGGTTTTGTCAATTCGGAGTATCGCTCTACACATTGTCTGTTGAAATTTACAAATTCTAAAAAAGATGCCAATTCTTTTTTGTTCTTAGGTACTCCAACTTTTAATATTTTGTCAATTAAGGATTGGTCTAGTGACATGCCTTCGTTAGATATGAAATATCCCCCAAATTATATTTTTTAGTGTTGTGCACACATTTTTATCGTTAATTGTTAATCCGGCATTTTTAACATATTCGAGACCATACTGGTTTTCCTGGTGGCATATTACATTTTTTATATTGCTATCAATAACTTGCTCTATAGCTCTTTGAAAAATCGCACTTGCGGTTTTAATTCTATACGGCATTCTTTTCCATCTTAACAAATCTATTGACGTGTTTATTACTGTGACTTCTTTAAAGTCTTCGTCAATAGGTATTTGATGGTATGCCGTTTTAGAGAATGTTTTCATACCCGCAAGGGAGTTCAACGACCATTCTACATTGGGATAGAATATGAGTCTGCATATATTTTGTGGTTTATACCTATTTTGTAGTCACCACAAATACACAGATCATCTTCTTTCTTAAAATTATTTACGATGTGGCTCATTTGCTCCATCCTAGCGGAACTCGTTCAAGTAGATCTTGTTCCGGTAATTTTTTTTAGTTTTTCCACAACTATTGTTAGTAGATGGACTGGCACTTTTCGTGCTTCAAAATATGAGATGGGAGAGACATTTTCCTTTAGCCTTAACTTTGCTTCATAGGTTTTTTTAACATTCCAGTTTCTTCTACCTTGATCTTGTTTACTGATTTTGTCGAATTTATGTTCAATACATCATTTCTTATTAGACCATGATTCTTTTCACAGTTTGCCACGATAATTGGTAATACGTCAAACTTATTTTTTAATTCCACGTAGGCTTCAAAACGTCTTTATCCCAGAACGTCGAACTGATTCAATTGGATATGACTTTTCTTTAATCTTGGTTTTCCTAATTTATTCCAGAAATTTCTGGGTATCAACGTCACGTCACTCCCCGTATCTAGTTAAATGTCCAATAAAACATTATTGATTCGAGTTTTTAATAACCCTTTTTCATTTCTTCTTTTCAATGAAAAGATGTCCATATTTATTTCCTCTTCAT